AGTTTTGATGCTGTTTTATGTCTGATGATCGTGTTAGAATACATGTGGAAGCATCTGTTGTTTCGGTTTCTTCTTCACTTGTGTTGTTTGGAAATTCTGTACAGAAGATGTGTACTAGCGCCCTCTACAGTATAACAATGAAAACACGGATTCTAGGAACACAAGTATAGCTCAAATATATTTGTAAGTCAAGTATACTTAAATGTCATTTTAAGTATATTTCTGAGAAGTACATAAAGCCCATTTCTGAGAAGTACATAAAAAGTAGACTAAAAGTATACTTTCCTATTTTTAGTTTAAAATAAGTATACTAATAGCACACTTGAATAAACTTCTTTTTCGTAAGGGTAAAGCATGAAGATAGCTCGTTAAAACAGTTCCAGTATCTTGAAGTGTGGTTATAGAGTGATGGTGTTTTAGTAAAGCTCTTATATGTAGTTTGCTATAGCGGCCTTTTTTTTTAATTTTTTATAGCGGCCATTATAAACAACTCACAAAATCTGCAAATGATGTCAGAGCAGTTGCTAGGTTACATGATTTGTTTGTGGAAGCCATGCATACTGCCTCACAACTTCACTTTAACTGATCATATTAATTTACCTGATTCATTGTTTCCCTTGAAGTCTGAAAGCAGCTGATTTTTTTTTTTTTAATATTCCATCTGTAATAAATTCAGTTTTGTGAAAAATAAATCTATTCTCATTTTTTATCCTTGTTTTTTTTTTTTTTTAATAACAGAATGTTGCTAAGAAAGTTCACAAGTCTAGTTTGCACAATATTTGAAGCACAAAATCCTTTTGATTCTTGTCTTATTTTATTATTTTATTTTATTTTATTGTTCAGGGGAAGTCGAGACTTTCAGGGATATAGAGGGTTTTGATTGTTGTCCTAATTTTGTTATGGACATTTCTGACATCAGGGGGGTATTCCAAAAAGCAGGTTATGTGACATGCCCGGGTATGTTTGAGGATAAGCGAGCGGATAACCTCGGCTTTCGGTTCCAAAATCGGAGGATACTTTCAGGGTATGTAAGTAACCATAGTAACTTGTTCTCTGAATTTAACCTGCTCCGGAGTTTAGGGTTAGTTCACTTCAGCGCACGTGTGATCTACTGACGAGCCTTCAGTGGGCGTGACAGATGGCGCACAACATTATATAATATTACAATATGTAATATAGCCTATTATTTATATATATGATGATATGTTAATGATGAAGCGCTAATATAAGTAATAAATAAAGTAATATATTAATTCTAATATTGTTATTATATTTATTTTATTGGCATATATAACAGTTATCTGTATAAATTATAATAAACACTATGACAAGGTAATGTTTAATTTATTATATTATATATATTTATTTATTACATTTGAACGGTATGAAGGTGAGTAACTGATGACAGAATTAACTTTTTTTGGTGAACTTTCCCTTTAAAGAATATTGTGTTCTCTTATAGGAAAATGGCATCATCACTGGAACATTTCATTTGACTATTGACTGTAAGTCTATAGCAGTTGTTATTAATGACAGCCCTGCCTTGTATTCTTTTTTTTTGCCATGTATTTGAAAATGTTTTGAATCACTATTTGGTGCAACTCCAATATTGTACGTGTACCCGCTCATGTTTACTTTTTTCAAATTCTGTCTGTTGCTGATTAAAGCTAAAAAGTATTCCATAGTACAAGCACTTTTTAATGGTGCTTTGCACATTGTTAAATTAATTGATGTCATATAATCTTAACCTTTTTAAGGCAAGTAAAAGCCATTCAGTGCACTTCTAAATGTTCAAATGAGGTAAAAATAAACCATGTTCAATTTGTGCTGGATTTATTCGCTATAAGGATATGCTATAATTTTGTAGTAATTTCTGCTTAACGGATTGTCCGTTAATGAAGAAGATTTCCGTTTTAGAGTTGAAGGAAATGTCTGTATACTTACAGCTCTGGAGATGAAGTTAATGTGTTCATGTCCTCATAAATTGAGGCGAAGACATTGAAAACAGTGAGCGTCATATGTGTTTGAGTTTGTGAATCAGACGAAACTACGCCATTCATTCACAGACAAACGCAGAGCATGCAGAATTTTTAGCGACATGCGCTGACTTTTGCCAATTTTATTACATAAACAGAAACACTGTTAAACATTAAATTTAATGTGCTGAGCAGTGGCGGCTCCTGCAATTCTCTCAGGGGGGGCAAATGTTTGCATGATTAATGAGGATAGGTCACCCATTCAATTGATAAATTAACGGCTAGTTAAAGATGTAAAGGAAACTGAACTACTAGTATTAATTAAAAATAAACTGACTCTAACAATCAATCTCTTGCTCTCCTTATGTTTCTATATGCGTGTTAACACAATTCAGCAGCAAATGAAGACTGAAGCCAGGATGTGGTTTTCCAAAAAACTTTTTACTTCAATTTCAGTTTAATAAGAAATAATTGAAGTCCCATAACTGCTCACTTATATCACATTACTCACTTATATTACATTAACTTACACTGCTCCCTTACATTACTCACTTACATTACACTGCTTACTTACATCACATTGCTCACTTATATTACATTACACCTGTAGTTGTCCATGCGATGTCCGTCACACTCTCGGGATGGAACAAAATGCAGGGGTAGCAGAATAAAGCGTTAGCTACTTCACAGGCCGCTAGCCATTTTTTCTGCTCATACCACATCCTCGGAAATCCCCGTTTATACGACTTCCCGCCCTTTGTAGATACATGTTTGATGTTTAAATTTGGTATAGGTGGTCCTAATTCTTTAATTGACAATTTATCCTTATTGCTACAACGACGATTCATCTGCGCTGAGGTAACGTTCGCCAAGATGTCGATCAAGTTCAACTGACAACTGAATTTGAGTTGGCATAGCTGTCCCCGTCTCTCTGTTTTTGTTTTTTTTTCTCGGGTTTTTTTTTCTTATTTTTTCACATTTGATACAAATATTAAAGTAGTTTTTCATTTTTTCTTGTTGTTAAAATTCAAAACAGTTTTTAAATATTATTGGATGTCACTGTTCCCACCAATCCTTGCTCCACTTATTTTTAAGGCAGTCTTGCCCTCACAAACATGGCGGACGCGTTGACGTATCGCTGCAACGGCTCAAAGCGGCCAATGAGGCGTCTAGGTATTTATATGTCTATGAGCGTAACTCTGTGGTTGATTGTGAAAGAAAAAAATCCCTCCCTTTCGCGCTTTGGTGGTGCGTAGCCCAATCGCCCTAATGGAGAAACCGCCCCTGGGATATTACATATTGTAATATTATATAATGTTGTGCGCCATCTGTCACGCCCACTGAAGGCTCGTCAGTAGATCACACGTGCGCTGAAGTGAACTAACCCTAAACTCCGGAGCAGGTTAAATTCAGAGAACAAGTTACTATGGTTACTTACATACCCTGAAAGTATCCTCCGATTTTGGAACCGAAAGCCGAGGTTATCCGCTCGCTTATCCTCAAACATACCCGGGCATGTCACATAACCTGCTTTTTGGAATACCCCCCTGATGTCAGAAATGTCCATAACAAAATTAGGACAACAATCAAAACCCTCTATATCCCTGAAAGTCTCGACTTCCCCTGAACAATAAAATAAAATAATAAAATAGGACAAGAATCAAAAGGACTCTTAACCATCTTAAACTATCTCAACTTCCTCTAAACAATAAAATAACATAGAATAAAAAATAAAATAAAGAAATTAAAATACATAATTAAATAACTATATGCTCTTGTTTAACAATTTATGAGTTATGCTGAAACCCTGACTGATGATGTTACAGGAAACCAGGTAAACCAGTCAAGCAAGATTGACATCTTTCTACTCCACCCAAGCTGAAGTAGCCAATAGGAGCACACATTCCTGACGTACTTTGATGGAGCACCAGCCTAATAAAACTGCATGAATCTTCTGTCTCAAAACACTGACACATACACACGCTCTTGCAAACATCAACAACTAAGGACTCTACAAACATGTCTTTCCTTTCAGGAGTTTTGGGTAATAAAGCAGCAGAGTCATTTGTCGACCAGGCTGTGGACAAAGCAGGTGAGTTTCTTATGCCCGAGAAGCTTAAAGAAACTTTAAAGCAACTGTTGTGTGCAAAGATTTTATACTTTTTATGCTGAGACCCTCTGTGTCCTTGTTTAGCTGGCCAGTTGTTATGAGTTGTATATTAATCTTCACGGCAAAAAAATATATAGATGAGACTTTTTCTGAGATTTTATATAGATTATATATAAAGTAGCTTATGTATTTTACCTAAAAATATTGGATAAAGTAAACTAACATTTATTTAATCTAACTTTTAGCTATAGTTAAAGAAAGACAGAAGACAACAACTTTTAAATGACTTATTTCTAATCTTTTTTTACAAACTCTCAACTAAATATGTAATAGAAATGTGATATCATGACTCATTTAACTGAATTATATTATTAAGCAAGTTGTTTTCCCTTCCTTTCAAATTGCCATGTTGCTTGTTTTAACTGCTTTTAAGTTTGTACTTGTTTTAAGCCTGCTGATTGCTATGTTGGTCCTCGATGAAAGAGCTAGTTTAAATATTTTTTGAGAATGCAGTCAGTTCAGTAATCATGCCACTCCTTATAAGGAATGGTGTTAGAATGGGCCTTCAGAGCCAGTAACGCTATCCAACGGTTTTTTTTTATTTTTAGACATCTAAGAAAAAGAAAAAAACATTTTGGGGCAAATCTGATGGGAAAGATGAGCTGTATATGAAAGACTATAAAAACTGCCATGTGTTACCTTTATATAATGTTGCTTTCACATTTCCCTAGCTGCTGCAGCTAAAAGAAAAGTGAAGGAAACATTTACTGGAAAGAAACAGGAAACTGATAAGACCGGGGGTATGGGAGGTCTTTTCCCAAGTAGCGAGGAGAAGGACAAGAAACCAAAGGAAAAGTCAGGAGGTGGACTATTTGGTGGCCTCCTTAAAGCAGAAGGACCAGGGGAAAACAGCGGCGGAGGAGCCTTTGGTGCTGGAGGCAGCAATGCAGCAGACAACAGTGGAGCAGACAGCAGTGAGTAATAAACAAATACATACACACACACACACACACATCCAAAGAAAAAAAAAACTGTCAAAACCTGATGGGTCTTCCAATAACGTAATCGTAACGTAACGTAATCCACCATGTACAAATATAATAACATTAATATTTTGTGTTTGATTAGGTTTCAACGATGCACTAGATGACCTTGCTAATGAGTTCTGTGAAAAATGATGTTCTGACAAGGAAAAATCTCTTTGGCTGAGTTCTTCAGCTGGAGACCTGTCTTACATCAGCACAATCTCCAAGTGTCATGGACTATAACAATATAAGAAGACAGTCATTTGTTACTAATGTAAATAATTTTAAACAGATGTCTCTGCAATATCTTATGTACGACTACTTAAAAAATACTAGAAATGATGCCTATTACATTCGTATTAGGTATTGTTTAAATAACTGAAGTTTAGTTAGCATGCTTTTGTTTTCAGAACTGTGTGATTGAATAAATGTTGAGTGAATAAAGCTGAATAAAAAAAGGTTTTTATTACTAAATGAAAAAGGTCTCATTTTATCCACTTACATGAGCATTGAGTATAATCACATTACTTTTTTTTTGGTCAATATTTTAAAACATTTCAAAGTACAAATACAATTAACCCAGTAAATCAGCTGACACACTGCACATTTTCATTTACATTTTATTAATTGTAGACCATTTAAAAAGGCAATACAAAGTCTTTTTTTTCCAATGGCTGTTTCATATTAAATGTTAATATTGCGATGAAAATAAACATTTGCTCCCAAATATAGGCCCTACCGTTTGCATATTATTAAGAAATTAAAAAAACAAAGGAAGCTTTTGGTTATCACTGAAAACTGTTCCAAGGAGCAGCAAAAGCAGATATTTATGTGCAAAATTTTGGTAACCGATATAAAAAGCCTGAGATTCATCCTGCATCCCTTTCCCACTTGACCATAATTGTGTCAAAATGGGTGGGGAAAAAAGTAACCAACTAGAAATTCTAGAAACTGGCATGAGAATCAACAGTGTGTGGCTGTGACTCTAAGGCTTAATGTGTTTTCAATACGCAGCAACTTCATTAACACGTGACCTGAAGAAAACATTACAAAATAGCTTTAAAATAAGGTACAACTGATCAGTGTTTCATGGCAAAATGTGGAAAATTAAACAGACTTTGGCTCTAAAGCTTTTCTAAAAGCCTTGAATATTTGAAAGGATGATAAACTAGAAAAGACCCGATAATTCTAAAGATGCTTATTGGTAATCACATGCATAAATTATATGACATATATATTTATGTCATATAAAATGTAAACGTGAGGAGCTGAGGGGTTAAGTGATATACCTCGGGTCTGTGCAGATGAACAGACTCGGATATAGAGTCGGGTAAATAATACAACCATCTATGTGAAGGTAAGGCCAGCCTCATGGTACACTTTGAAGACTTTCTCAATGGCGTTGACGTAGGCTGCTGTCCTCAGGTCTAGCCCAAGGTTATACCTGTTGGCTGTGCGCATGATTTGCTAAAAGAGGAGAGATGAATTATGTGAACAAACGGAGCAGTACTTTACATCACAGAGGCTCTTCATACATCAAACTAGCCTAAACACACACAGACTAGTACGCTGCCTCCCGAGACTGCATTTTAAGGCATCATAGACATTCTTCTTAAAGTGAATTATCATTCTAAAATTAATCTTAATTATGCTGCCTCCAAAAAAACCTAATTTTACTCAAATTCTAGGGCAGCATTGCATGTGTCCTTTGTGGAGAAGCCAATATAAGAATACACTAAGATAAGCTCAGTGAGAAAATTTATCCAAGATGGATATCAAATAGCTTATAAACAAACTGAAAAATCTCAATAAAAATAGCTTAAATAAACAACATACTGAACTAACAAGATCCTCTGACTAATGGTTTTAATGATCCACAAATCTTTGGCTGTGGTGAATGATTAGGAATCCATTTAATGGATTGGATCTCATTTACAATTTAAAAAACAAATGACTGACAGGAACAATAACACATGAACAAAAAGGCATAATACATAATATATATTTGCATATAATTATATCAATCAATTTAAAGGATTATTATATATTAACAGTATATATCTACTTACTCTGGCAGATCGCTCCATCGTGTAAGCCAATCCAGAATGCACAATGTCCTTTTCAGAAGCTCCCTACCAGATGAGCAAAACAAGCATATAAAGGTCTAGTAGTCAAATATAAAACAATTAAAAAATGCACATTATGGCCCGGTTTCACAGACAGGGCTTAGACTAAACCAGGATTAGGCCATTGTTCAATTAGGAAATGTAAGTAATTTTTATTAACATGCCTTAGAAAAAACATTACTGGTGTCTATGTATGAGGCATTGCAGTTTTCCTACATGACTAAACGTGACATTTTCTGGGAAACAAATGTTTGACTTACTAAGGAGATGGTAGTTTGAGTCCCTTTCGTATTTGAAGGTCAGTCTGCCATAACTGACGTGGTTTAGGTTCTTCAGCCACTCAAAGTAGGAGACTGTCACACCTCCAGCATTCAGGTACATGTCCTATATATATATATATATATATATATATATACACAATTATTTATTTTTAGTATCCTATTAGCATCAAAGGCTATTTTCAAGGCAAGATAAAAAAATAGTTTAAAAAAGGGGGGAAAACTCAAATTTTGTTACAATAATAGAATAAAACCTATATAAAAATCTCCTATAAATAAAATCAAAATAAGGTAATAGACAAAATAAGATCAAATCACCTATATATGCATATAAATCAAATATTGTATAATAGGCTAGTAAATTTAGTTTTAACATTCAAATAACATTTAGGACTGGAAAACGTACAGGGATCACCATGATATTCCTCTCTAGGAATATCTTGTCAGCTTCAGGGGTAGTGGGACCATTAGCTCCTTCAGCAATGATCTGTGAAAATAATAAGTGTTACTCATTTTTCTTTTTATATTCTCATTGCAGCTTCTGTGGAGTGGCATAATACAATTAATAACTCATCCACATTAAAATGACTCTATTGACCTCTAACCTTGGCCTTGATATTGTTGGCGTTTTTCTTTGTAAGCTGTTTCTCACTTGCAGCAGGGATCAGAATATCACACTCAGCTTCCAAGATGCTGCCTTCATAGGGGGTGGCCTTAGGAAAGCCAACAATAGTGCCATTGGCCTGGAAAGCGAGAGTATTTGATACATTTGGATTATAGATTTGAACATAGTACATGTAGCACTGCCAATTGGCCACAAGGTCACAGCCTTACAGTGAATATTCTTACACTGCACTGAAGCTCAAGAATGTCACTCCAAAGGAAATGAACAGTTCATACTCACTAGCTTATAGTCTTCCAGTTCTTTGGGATCGATGCCGTTAGGGTTCCAGATGCTTCCATCCAGCTCTCCGACACCCACACACTTTGCTCCGTAACGGTGCAGGTAACGCATGGAGTGCAGGCCCACATTACCAAAACCCTAAAGCAGAAAGTGGGAGAATGCATTAAATATTTGTTATACTGACAGCGGAGCTGAAGGTAATGTGGAATACTGATGGATTTAGTGCAGGAACATTGCTAAACATCTAAATACACTGCAAAACACTGTCAGTATTTGAGTGTCACCGTTAAAATATCTAAACATCACTAAAACAACATACGCTTGACTTACTTCAGAAGTTCAAGTTAAAGATAATAAGAATTGTTTTGAGAGAATATAGCTTGAATTAACAGTGCAGGAACATTGCTAAACATCTAAATACACTGCAAAACAAAGTCAGTATTTGAGTGTCACCGTTAAATATCTAAACATCACTAAAACAACATACGCTTGACTTACTTCAGAAGTTCAAGTTAAAGATAATAAGAATTGTTTTGAGAGAATATAGCTTGAATTAACATACATTTTCTTACACTTCTGCCAAATAGTTTAATCATAATCTAACTATATTTTTAGATTTATGCTTAAAACGGGGAAAAATACCAATGGTACACAAACTTAATTCAAGATATATTCACTATAAAAAGATATATTCAGTATTTTAAAGTATTTTATCTTAAGGTACCTTAAGGCATTTTACCTAACCTTAAGTGATTTATTTGGTTTGAATTATGTTTACATATACTCACACACACAGACACAGACACAGACACACACACACACACACACA